TATCCGTAGGACCTGTTTTGTCCCTATTCTCAAGAATCACTGTTTAAATAGTTGTTCATTTTTAGCTATTTTCAACCACCCTTTACTAAGCCAGGCATCAAACTGATGGTAAAAGACTTTGTTTTATTTATTAATGGAAATTTTTGCAAAATGGAGTAAAAAAATATATATATATTTTTTACTTATCAGAGTTAAGTAGGAAATTACTATGAACTTACCATTATTGAAGCCACAACTGGTCCTTTAATCACCCACCAGAGGGCAGTGTGCTCATTCGTTTCCCAGCATCTGTCGGTGACCACCAACACGTTTTTTGGAAAATTTTCCACGATGGCAAATGAAACTTTCTATCACCATTCAAAGATTTCTGATTTACAGGAATAGGTAAACAATTCCTGTTTACCTATTACATGTGCACCTTCGTGAAAGCCACACTTTTGTGGATGTTACAATAAGCTATGTTTTAAAGAATCTACAGAGTATTTCAGTTCATTTATAATTATTGTTTTTGCTCTTCTAATGCTTCTCTTATTCTAGTGGTTTCTGGTGTCAAATAAAGCACTGAAAACTTAATACATCAAGCTAGCAATAACAATAAACATCTTAGATTTTCTAAGGAAGAAAAAGTTAACCCTTTAGTTTAGTACTGCATCTGAAGCTAAAAATCAGTTATCAACCTTTGCATATTCAGCCTCTAATTTTGATTGATCATATTTTCCAATATTGCCTACATTGAGCATTACACAGGAGGTGCCAACGCCTCATTGACTGGGCATAAAAATAAGCAATAGCAAACTTATTCTGGGCACATCTGATGCTATCTTTTTTCTCTGTGTTTGTGCTACTCTCTGAAAGAATGGCACCCCAGGCGGTTATAGCACTCGCAATAAGAGTATCCAACTCTAAAATAAAACAAAGCTAGTAAACTACATGTTCTTATGTACAAACATATGACATTGGTTGGAATAAAAAGTTGCTACATACCCTGTGTCATGGAAATGAAGCCTCAGAACGGCCCAGACAGTCACACATATAGTTGGAGTTCCTGTTATCCATAACATACATAGATAAAGCACGGAGAACACAAATTACACCACTGGAAAAAACAATTAGCTGCAGATATGCTTGGCAGTTAAAACAATAAAACAATTAAATAATTAAACCAATCAGAAATTGTTACATACCCCACCCGACAATGGTGTACCAGTAGAAATAGCGTCTCTCGGGGAAGAAGGTCTCAACCAGCAGAGTAAAGAGATACAGACCCTCGATGAAAAGCCAGAAATAGTTGGACATGACGCAGTAATGAAAAAATATCATCACTGCTTTACACGCCACCTGCATGAGGAAACACAGCGGCAGGATGTTGGAGCAGCAGGACGCTGAGATTTTGTTCTTCAGAGAAATCTCATCTTTATCTGGACTCACTGCTTAAACCCTTTGAATTAGAATCTGCAATAATATGTGACAAAAATGTCAGATATTTGAAAGAAAAAATGCTCAACAGTTGACTGCTCATATCCTTACATTTACCCTCCACCATAGAACATAACTGAGTACAAGAATGCACTGTTTCAGACCAATGCTTCATCACAACACAGGGGAATCTTATGTGTCTTACAGAGCCTTGAGAATTGACGTTAAGATGCTTATGTTATTCTATAAATTACTAAATGACTTAGATCCAAATTAAATTAAAGACCTGTTACTGTATCAATCATACAGACCACTCAGGTCTTCTGCTCTCTAACAAACTAATTTGCTAGAGATGCTTTTGACTAATAATAAGTGAACACAAATTAATTCTATTCTGGATTGCAACATTTATATTATCTTTATTTTGCCATGGCAAATGTTTCTGTTTTGTTTTATTTTATGGTGTTATGTTTTGGTCATATATAGTAGATTAAACTGCTTTGTTGGTGAAATGTGCAAACAAACTTGACTCTGTAACTGCACCATTCCCAGTGTGTCATTTGACAGAAATTTATTTTATGATCCAACTCTGCTTTGAAGTTCTTTATAATGTTATCTCTGACTTATCTGTTTTCCTTGGTTTTCATGATGCAGCCTGTTTCATAATATTCTCTAAAGTTGTGATTCAACTTCACATTTAGCAGTTAGATATTTATAGCAACACATTTTCTCCAAACAGGAAGAGGAAGTGCAGCAGAATGTAAGCAGCGAAATGAATAAATAGAGTGATTTGGGACATTTTGGTTCTTATTTGGCTCTTAATCATCTTTAGCCATGCAGACTGCAACTTCTAAAATAAGTAACGTCTGGAGTCCCTCCATGATAATCACTGTATAAACAGATGTGGTCAGTACAGGCAGCAGTGGTCAGTAATTACCACTAATTCATATGAAAATGCTGCATGAACTGATTGAAGCTGATATTCAAACTACCCACAGGAATGACTCACCTCAATGTCAGGTGAAGTGTAATGTAGTGACACCATGTTAATGAATAGTGTCCACATTTAGAGTCGGGTCAGACAATTACAGTAGTGATCTAATTCAGAGTCCCTCCATGATGACGACCTTGCAATCACTATGGCAACAGAGGTAAAGGAGTAAATTTAAAAACAAGACCATGGTAGCCTTTCAGATGGTAATGGGTCTGCTGTAGAATATTTCAGCAGGCCTTTTCAAAGCCATTAGCCTATATAATTAGGTTTATTTGTCATGCCGGCTTACCAAAGCGGGCAATGAATTGTTTCTAGGGGAAGGCTTAGAGTTTGTTTTGCATTTGTAATCATAGAGGTTTAATATTTTAATGTACAGAAACAGAAGCTTGTACTCGGTTGAAGCTCTCTCAAAATGTGAAAAGAAAAAAGCCAGAAAAGCCGAAGGATAAATGATTCTCACGTAAAAAGCATAAATGCACTTTGACAAATTATTTCACGACTCTTTGAAAAATAGGCATCCTCATCAAAACTTTGTACATATAAATCCACTGGGACTATGTAAACAATAAAAGTCCAATTGCACAATTATCTACTTCAGCTTGGTATAAATAAAGCGATTAACTTTGCAATTTGAAATCAACTTTTGTTAACAGCTGAACAAGCAGAGTTGTTTTCTTTTCCTGTGGTGAAAACCACACACACACACACTCACGTCGTCTTTCTATTTTCACAAGGACTTTGCATTGACTTTTATTCATTTCAGTGGCCCAGCCCTGTAACTAACTCTAACCCTAAACTTAACCATTACTAGTACATGCCTACCAGTAAACTTAGAGTAAATTTAATTCACACTTTAGCCCTAAATCTAACCCCTGACCCTAAAACCCTTACGGGGTCGGGGCTTTGGAGAACGCATTATTTGTTGTACAAATGGGGTTTACAAGGGGAGATATGCTGAAACTCACACAGTCTTGTTTCTATAAGCAAACACAGGATACATGATAATCATCAGTGATAACTGACTGTGTGCATGAAGCAGTGTTCGCTGTCTTCCTTAGGATACAGCACACCGTCCTTGATGAAGACAGAGATGGCTCTCAGGATGAAGGACACAAACAGGTTCATGTGGATGAAGTTTCTGGTGCAGTGCAGCTTCCTGCAGAAATGGGAGAGAGTGAGAGTGTGCACAGAGGAATAAGTCACATTTTATCATCTTTAACCTCAAACAATCAGGGCAATGTTTAAAACCGCGAGTCAAAATTGTCCAAATCAACATCAGTTTGAAATGAATCGAGTTTGTTTGCAACAACCTCCCGACAGGTTACCTACTTATATGTTCAGTAAAGTCTGTTTCGGGTGCAGAAGTGGGGGGTATGGTGAGACAAACACTGTACAATTTAGGGATGATTTACAATAACATTCACCTTGAGAGGGAGAGTTTGTATTGGCATCCCTAGCTGTTCTGGGAGAGCTGCTTAGTGTGCAACTGAAAGAATAATGAAATTAATCATAATAATGATCATTTTAAACATTGAAGTCAAAGAGCTAAATTTAGGAAGCAGGAGAGAAACCTTTTCTGCAGACTTTCTGCAGACCTTTTGGAGCATCCTCTAAAACTAAAGAATCTGATCATCGTTAATTTAAGATAAAAGAGGTTTTAAACAAAGTTTGGTTTTGATGAAAGATTAACTATATGATTGCACAACAATCTTTTATATTTTTTTGCAAGTTTCCACTAGTTTTTTAAAACTAAACCTAGGCTTAGCTGAGGCATCTGGAAACTCTAGTTCATTACAGAAACGGTTATTTTAACTATAAATACAATAGTTTTTAACTATTAGAATAGGACAATCATTTTTAGTAGAAGCAGTACACTCGTAATCAGAGGCTAAATTGCTGTTATAGTAACATAGTTCCAATAAGCACCCATTTATCTTGACCTATGAAAAATAAACATTTACTAATGAGAAAATCTGAACAAATATGGGCTATAGCTTACTATACTTGAGAAGCAAACACAATATTTAACTCCTCAGGGACAGTTGAAACATATTTTGCTCTTTTACAATAGACAAGAACAAACACTGCTAATTCAAATTACGTAGCTAAAGCCTTTTAATTAGTTTATTAAGGGACTTCCACTGGGACCAAACAAGTCTTCTGGAACCTGGTCCCTGCAGAGCTTGATTTTAAGTTTACTGTAGCTGCAGCAGCTGTTTACTGAATAGAATCAAAAACAGACTTTTCCGTTACTACATGTTCAACTATTCCTATTTTAGTTTCGAACTCACCTGAATCTGCAGAGAATGACCATGGCTGTGGTTAAAGAGACCAGTGAGGTGCTGTACCCGACTGTATACAGGGCTTTAACCGATGCAAAATAATCCTAATGATGGTGAACAAACGTTAGTGTCCATGTAGGAAAAATATGTATATTTAAGCAAAAGAAGTAAGTCATACAGGTTTTGTTGTGTTGTCGTCAAGAAGGCAGATGTCCACATAGTGAGGATAAGGTTCAGACCAGCCATACTCTGTACAGTTTCGATTGACCTTCCCAATTTCTGAAAATATAAAAAAAAAAATGTATATATATA